CCAAGCGAGCGAACGTGAGTGCTCTCCCCTGCCCCCTCCTCGGCCCGCCTCATCCCTCCCGGGCAGCCTGGTGGAGTATGAGGCGAGGAGGAGTCCACCGGCCCAAGGCTGAGAACAGGCCTTCCCGCCCGATCTGGGCTCGTTCTACATCCACGGCCGAGGGAGGCCGTCTGCTTCCAGGCAGGCCTCTTGGTTGACAAAAGCTCGTCAAGTTTGTAGCTGTGGAGGGTTAAGAAAGGACCAGCGAAGCACACGAACTCTTTCAGTGATGTTAGTCCCGAGATTTAGCACGTAGGCTACTGCTTCTAAGGTTTGAAGTGAGCGCTGTAGATCTAACACACTCTGTGTTGTTTCTGCATCAGATTCGGCTGCCTCCAGAAGTCAATCGGATCCTGTACATTAGGAACCTGCCATATAAAATCACAGCAGAGGAAATGTATGATATTTTTGGGAAATATGGGCCTATTCGACAAATCAGAGTGTAAGTATTTTAGTTTTCTTCAAAAAGTTAATGATTTTATGTGCTTTAGTATTAATATTGTTATTGCAGTAGGTAGCAACTGGATTTCATGGCTGAAAAAGTTAAATGTGCTTTAGCAGTACCCCTGTGTGCCAAAGGTGGATGTAATGATATTTCTCTGATGTGTGAAGTCGTTAGAAAATAGTATTGCTAGTAGATACGGTGAAAAAGCTTAAATTTGATATGAAGCTAGGTAAGTTGGTAAAAATGAGAGACTTACTCTTTTAAGTAAATCTTAAATACAGCTAACCTTTTACCTTAACTAAAGGTAAAAATAAGAAAGGCAAAACTTGAATAAAACCAGTTTTCATATTTAATGAGTATTAGATACTTAACTAAGGGGAAAATAGAGATGTTACTATTTCTGTTGGACCTGTCAACCAGAAACAAATACCAGAAACAACTCCCTGTGCGTCAGATACAGCTTGTCCCACAGCCACATAGTCCATGGATAATGATGATCTGACTGTGATTTTGTTTTAAAATGCATTGAGGTTATACATGTCTACAGCAAATCTGAGGTTATTCTCTTCAGTTATTTTAAATATTGAAGACCTTAGCTCTGATGTTCCTTGTTATCCCAAGTATTGTCTAAATGCTGTGGATTAAACCATAATTTCATCTGGTTAGTATTATGTTCTGCTGAGCTTCTAGCAGAAAAAATTGGCTGAAGCTGGAATTCAGGAATAGCTTTTCATAACCATAGTAAGGCTGGTCGGAATACTGACACTCGTACAAAAGGATTTTTTTCCCTCCCTCTGAAATATTTTTCAGAGGGGGAGAAAACAAAACTTGGTGTTTAACACTTAAAACATTATAAGTCACTCTTCAATAGAAAAGGAAACATAGTTTATATTTGATAAGGGTTTTTTTGTACTGCATTTATCCAGATGTTTGCAAAATAACCTGCAGCATCTCTGAGTTCTTGACTAGGTTGCTGATCAGATTAGAGCAGAATGTATCATTGTAATTTTATCACTCTCCATTTCCCCATGCTCTGAGACTGAGATGGGTAATTAATCCACAATATGTTGAATTGTTTTGACTATGCAGGATGTAAGTACGGAAACAGTTAAACAGACCAAACTTTACAACCCCAAATAGAAGTGCTCATTCCAGAGCCATAGTGATAAAAATCCTTGTTCAGTGTATAGAATAAAGTGAGTTTTTTACGTGTAGAATTACCTTCAGTAAACAAACGAGGACAGGCAGGACATACTGGTGATGCTGTGTTGGAATGTGCAGCTAGTGAGATCTTTCTTGTACAGTGAAGGGCAACAAAAGTGACTGGGGAAGTGGTTAAAGGAACAAGGGACAGCATAAACTTACTGCTTGGCTAAATAGGTGGAATTCTTCACTAATAAGCATAAAGGAGAACTTTATGGTTTCTGAAAATGTGTAGGTTGGAACAGTGGAACATAAAGAATTAAGACATATCAAGGGAGCTTTCCATCAGAGTGATGTGCTGGTGTACACGTCCAACAGGGAACTGCAGGAATCCTCCCCGCTGATTGTTCAGAACTCCTGATTCGTGTCGTTTTCCACAGAAATCCTAACATCATCATAAGACAAGGCATAACGTGGAACTCCCTGTGTAATGACTTTTGTGCCTTGTGCAGTTCTTAATCCCATTCTCCTCTTCATTTTTGTATGCATCCTGGTGTGGAAACGTGTGATATCATTTGTCCTCAGGAGTTCTCTTCTTAGAAGCAAGCACCTTAGAGATAATTCTTCGATTATTAAATTTGCTGTAACTATCTTTTAGCTGAGATCTTTTGGATTTGTAAACTCTACAATGTGTCCGGGCTAGTTAGTGTTAGGTGCCCAGCCGTGTCTCCTGTCCCTCAGGCAAAGGAAATGGAATTGATGGTCCCATAGGTGACAGCTGTGCGTCCAAAGTGGTCTTGCTTCGGTGGGCCTGTTTTGTCTCTTTTAAATTGACTTTGCGATGTGCCAAGAGCTCTGTTCCATCATAGGGAGACATCTGATCCAGACAGCCATTAACTGACAGCCCAGCCTTGTAATATTAAATAAAACAAGCTAATCGCTGTAATAAAAACTTAAGAAGTATTTCCAGAAATATGTCAACCCCTGACAGCAACAGCTTCTGCTGGTTGCTGGGCAGAGGTGAATTCCCTTTGGAGCATAATGCAGCACATGCCTCCCTCACATTTTCCTGTCATCTCTGGCTCTGAACTGTAAGTGGAGATTGGTGCAGAAAGCAGGGATGTATTTTAATATCTAGAAAAAAATAACAATAAATTGTTTTTTAGTGAAGTTGCATTAGTTAATCTAATCTCAGTCACTGCTAAAGACTTAATAGAACTATTTCCTGTTCATTTTGTTTAACATTAAAACTGATCTTGCTCTGCAGTGGGAACACTCCTGAAACTAGAGGAACAGCATATGTGGTCTATGAAGACATCTTTGATGCCAAAAACGCTTGCGATCACCTGTCGGGATTCAACGTGTGCAACAGATACCTTGTCGTTTTGTACTATAATGCAAACAGGGTACGTATACCTGGGGTATTTTAAAGTTACTTGTGAACATAGCTAGCACAAAAAAAAACCCCAAACCCTCAGTTTGAAAAGACAGTTGCTTGGATATTTTTAAGAAATAAATCCAAACTGGAAGAGGGAATGGATTGGATAAATTGCCAGGATTTCATCTTTACTTGGTGATGTGTGTGCAAAAAAGTATCTTTGGACCAAGGGTGTGAAAAACGTGTTTCTTGTGAGTGTACTTTGGAGAAGAGGAAGCAGGGGCCTTAAAACTGCACAGTTGCAACAGGATGTGAGATCTTGTTTAGAGGTAAAAAGTCTCTAGTTCTTGGTGTGCTGCCTGGTACTGACGATATCCAAGGCACTGTGGTCGAGAATTAAGGAACACTCTGTGTGATGTTGGTGTGGTTCACAGTGATGTTGGTTGCAATTACTGGTAAATAATGTGTTATGAGAATTTTTTTTATTTTTTTTTTCTTCTCACATCTTTTACTTTCCTAATTACAGGCATTCCAAAAGATGGACACAAAGAAGAAAGAGGAACAGCTTAAGCTTCTCAAGGAAAAATACGGAATTAATACAGACCCACCAAAATAAACTGATCTTTTTAGAAAACTGTTTTCAAGCCTTGCTGTTGAGTTCAACTGTTTTCAAGCCCTGCCATTGAGTTCTTGAACTAAACATAGGAAATCTCAATGAAGTATAACTTTTTAAAAAATTTGATAAGCTGTAATTTAAATCTTTAGCTCTTCACATTAGAATTAAATATGTGTAAAACATCAGAAGATCTGCTTTAAGATTAAATCCTCCTAAATGGACCTTGCTTCTCTGTGTTGTAAGGGTGACCTGGTAAATGCTGCATAACCACAGTCCTGTTTCTAGCAGGACCTTTTCAAGATGGGACAGAGCAGGTTTAGCATTTCACACCTCCAGGAGTTCTCTCCAGTCTCCAGAGCGGATTTTAAATGTGGCAGCCAGTTCATCCAAGGGGCTCTGTGTGAACTGTCTACGTGGAGGTAAATTTCACTTGCCACTTTCTGAAAATGGAGCATTGTAACTAGTCTCCCTGCCACAGGGATTTTTGTGCTTTTTTTTAAAAATAGAAGTATGGTTTGATACTTCATCACACCTGTAAATTGTACACAAATTATTGCGCCTTTCTTCTTCCGGGAATGTTTGCAGGAGCCTAACTCCGTTACATGATCATTAGGGCTATTTCTTGCTAGGAACAAAGCAAGCCTGAATCCAACTGCTTAGGTGACTTCAGTCAAAATATCTTGTTCCCAGTGACTGAGACTGAACTGATTAGCTGCAGTAAAATAATCTCGCTCTGACAATGCGTTGCTGCAGGGCTGACTTAATGTTCTACGAGATCTTTGTTATGTGTACCGGGTTTGTACAGAGGTTAGTAGGAGTGACAGGAATACACTTCACACCTTCCAATGGTAAGTAGAGAACACCTGACCAAAGCGAGACAGTAGATGATGGTGGTAATTTTAGATACCTGTAGCATGATTGTTTTCTACTAATGAACTAATGTATTTCATGTACAGAAATGTTTAGGTGTAGCATCTGGTGGAGGAAAAACACATTTAAATTTTGGGGCGCTTTTTTTTTTCCCCGCGCTCATGTCCTATGGATAAAAATTAGCATGATGCAGAGTATGCATAACCAGTATGTTTTGAAAGTGGAAAAGAATAAGGTCTACCTCTGTTCTGATCCAGCTGGAAGTTGTGTGAACGCTGGTAGTATCCTGCCTCTCGGGAGGATTTACCTGCTTGGATGTGATGTTTTAACTCCCTGACCAGACAACTTCCAGCCAGTGCAGAACGTGGGTGGATGCAAATGTAGTATGCCTGAGGATTTGTAATTTAATTTTTTTTTTTCAGAGCATTATACTGTTATAAAGGAATGCTTCCATTTTCTTAACTTTAGATTTTTGTTGAAATCTGTCACTTAAAGAACCATGCTGTTCTTGTGTCCATTTAGTAAAAAAAATAAATGTGTCTACATAGTTTTGCTTTTTTTCATCAAGCCTTGCTCTATGCTGTGCTACTTCTGCATGTAACCTTTCCTTTTAGAAAGGAAGTTGTTCGTCACCTGAATGTTTGTGATACAGGTAAGGAGTTGTAGAGCATGTCACCGTATGTACACAGATGTCTACATGTGCTCAGCACCGGGCTGCTGGGGAAGGATGCCCAGCTGTGGGTACCAGCGTCCACCTCTTAAAGAGAAGAGGTTCCTTGCAGTTCCCGGGTGCTGTGCACATCGTTCCTTAGCTGGGAGGAGCAGGAAAGGAGGCGGTGACGCTCCAAGCTTGCTCTTTCAGTGGTTTTCCTGTCATTTCAGCCTTGGGTGGGTGCTTGAAATCCCATCTTGTGCCTGACCAGGGGCCGTCCCGCTGGGATGCGTGCATCTCCTCTTGGGTTGCAGAACGCGAGTGATGTTTAGCGTGTGTAGTAAAAAGCCCTGTCCTTACTCTGTGGCTCTTCCGTACCTGTGTCCTTCCCTTAAACTGGAAGCTGCTTGGTGCAGCAGGGAGCCCTCCCCGAGGTCAGGAACAGGTGCTGGGAGACTTGGAGCCCGTTAGCACCTGGGGCCACATCTCTGAACGAGAGAAACGTAAAGCTCTGCTGCGATGTCATTGCCGGCTTTCCCACTTGCCCAGCCCTGTACCGCTTCTGTCGGGTGCAGCCGTCGTACACATACATTAAATGCAAAGCTGTCGTCGTCCCGAGGTGAGCAGTCACTCCTCCAATGCCGGCTTGGTTTTCAGCTCTTGCCTATCAGATTAACACAAACCTAAGTTTCTCAGGGAAAAAACAGCTTGTCTTAAAAATGTTTAAATGAATGAAATCCTATGGGAGGGCTTGCTTCTGTGTGAACATCCGTAGCTTTTTAGAGGTTACAGACAGCGCCCCTACATATTTATATGTATGTATATATATAATACATATATATAGGCCATGTATATACATACACGTGCCAAACACTAGGCTAACAGTTGCTGGGCATGGCTGTAACAGGAACTGGAAGTGCTTCTAATAAATAATAATGAATACTGATAATAAAATACCAAAGCGCTAATAATGGTGCTGCATGCTGCCAGCCTTGCTTAAAAGCGTATGCAAATACAGCGTTGCTTCTGTCAATAGTGGAGAGCATGGTGCTTGCACTACAGTGTCTGTTTTGATGAGGATTTGATGCTGTTTGAAAAACATATATAAAAAGCAATTCTTTAGGGTAATAAGATTAATAAAAATTCCTTCAATGAATCCTCAAGATCAGCAGCTCTTGATTTCTCCGAGAGCTCAGCTGCTGCCTTTCATTAAATATTCCATTTCATACTTTTTCTTCTAGTGTCTGTTCAGGGCTTTCAATGTCCCTGCACATGTAAAATGAAATAATAATTTGTACCTGCAAGACAGAGGGAATGGAAATCAAATGCCCGGAGGATTGTTTTGATGAGGTCTGCTCAAGATTTTGTTTGAAATGTAATATCAAAGGACAGGGAAATGAGTTCAGTTATACGAATGGCAGAGAGGGCAGCAAATAAGGCAGGTGTTACCAGCCTCGTACTCTGCATCTGTGCTGTTTTTTGTGTGTGCTCACTTCCCATTTAAATTTTCAGGAAGTAGGGCATGAAATTAAGCCTGGAAGGTCATTTTTTTTCCATTGATGCTGTTTAGAAATTAGTAACAAGAGGATATCTGATTACACAGGCGATGACAGTAAATTTTTTCCAATCCATTATATAGTGGTAATAATTATATGTACTGTGTTGATCGATGATACAATTAAATAAATTAACGCATTTGCAGTCAAATAAAGAGCTGAAGATTACATTTCCTTGAAGACTTAATTTCCCTAAGTATCACAAAGCACAATTAGTTTTCCTTTCAGATTTTTTTTTTTAAATGAAATTGGCATGAAAAATGTAATAATCTCTGCTTCCAACAAAGGTCTCTGCAGAGAAAGGGCGATGAGGGAGAGAGCTTCATCAACCAGCTGTAATAAGGATTTTACAGACTCGGTAATGGCTGGGTTGTACTGCTGAGGGCAAAAGGAAAGCGTGCAGCAGCTCTGCAGATAGAGACGGTAAGACCGAATGCGATCAGCTCTTAAAGCCCACAGGAACACGTTTTGCACTGGTAAGAAACGGAGCAGAAGGGCAGAGCGATGCCCTACCTATTGCTTTAGAGGCAGCAGAAGCTGGCCAACAGCAGGACCAAGAGCTGACGGAGGGAACATGGGGCCATTGCAGGTGCGCTGAGCCAATCCTTCACATCACTGTTCGCTTTCAAGGCATTCGGGAAAGGTCCCAAACCAGATACTTTATGGTTTTTTCTTTTATTTAATGAGCAACTAACTCAAACGATGCCATCGGTAGGAGCCGCTTTAGACCAATGTGCTGAACGAGATGTGTTTGACAGGCACAACAGGGCTACGTTACATTTAACCAAGACATCTATAGGAGCTCACATCTGCAACTGCTGCAATACAGCCTGCGATCTGTAACCCTGTGCTGAAATCAAGACCAGCTACAGTGGCCGTGGCAGTGGCAAAGGAGACCGGGACCTTTTAAAAGAATTTGGGAGAGCTAGTGGGCATCAAACTCTGGCAGATCCAATTCCCTATTATTTATTAACAAGAAATTAGCCTGGCCTAAATAAAAGAACTACTAGTGAAATGAGGATGTGTAACTTAGCTGCTCCGGTGATCCTAGATTTCCACCCAAAAAAGGGACCTGAAAGGCCTTTCATTTCTTTATAGAGAGAGGAGCAAGAAAAAAGCACCAACCCTCAGTGAATAACAGTCTGTAAGAGATGGCGTTTATGAGCTTACTAATTAACAAACTCAAATGCAACTTTGTGAGTAAAATGAATATCTAGAGAAAGAAGAGTGTGAGCTGCAGTCACTGGCCAGATTGCCAGTCTTGTTTTTCTCTGCTCCTTTTCTCTCTCGTCTCCAGGAGGCATCACCTGGAGATACCTACGTAGCTTTGCTCGTGCTAGGTGTGTCCTCCTTACACAGACTCAGACAAGAAAATAGCGCAACAACTATTTGAAATACTTCCATCAAAAAATCCACTAGTTGAAAACTATGCAAATAGTTTATAGTCGACATTAAATAAAAATATCATTGTGACCCAATGACGTTCTTTTTTTCTACAGCGAAGGGGAAAAAGCAAGCCAAAAGGTGAGAAATCAAATTTAGTCAAAGCAAAATAACAGCACAGAGGCAGCTTCGCTATCAGGTCCTGCTCCTGAAACTATGCAAATGACAGTCTACGCATCCTTCTGTCTCCAGGGGAGGAACTAGCATTTCGCGAATTCATATAACCATCAAATGAACTAAATATTGCTCAGTCTCGAGTGCCAGGAGCCCAGCGCACAAAGGAAGTTTGCAGGCTAGCTAAACAGCATCAGCAGATGCAGCCTAAAAAAAAAACCTCGTGTGTTCAGTTGCCACACCATCCCACCGTTCAGATTTGTTTTGTAAGGTGGATGCATACAATTCTGCTCTTCTCTAGCCTTTCTCAGCTCCAGCAGAAAATTTTACCCTAGTTTTACTGTTGTAAAGGTACAGAATTGGACCAGCATGGCACGTCTTTGAGAAGCATCGCTTTCCATCTC